AATACAATTATATATAATATCAGAAATAATATTCGATAGTTGTTACATATAAAACATTTTGGTTTATTAGTGAATGTCAAAAATAGTATTAAGTAATCTTAAAGACAAGAATGAATTACGTATTATATAAAAAGAAAAGATATGTACCATCAAAATCGAGAGAAAGATTGGCAGTTAAAGCTCGAATGGATGAAAATTTAAAATGATAATAATTTGCTAAATACTGATTATATAGGTCTATCCATTTAATAATATATGCAATTAATTTTTGTATTTGAGGTTACTTAGTAGCGTTTTTAATATTTACTTATAATATAAAAAGTTTTATATGTAATAACTTCAACAATTTTGTATATCCGTCCGCCACTTTGTTAATTGTACAAAAATTACGGAAATCACGTGATAAACGGAAAATTACACACAAAAATTTTATTTTTTTTAATTTGACCTCGATTTACATGACAGGGTGCGTTTTTATATTAAGATATTTTTATAACAGATAGAAAGCCCTTGTTCTTAGCTACAAGATGATATGTGTTTTATTCCTGTAACGTTGATATTCGCGGAGATATTCACGAACGTCCGTGAAAAATTTCTGCCATAAATTTTCCGTAATTCTGGTCAGATTACAAAAATTACAGAAATAATTCAGTAATTATAAACAAAATCATCGATGTTATTACATATAAAACTTTTTATGTTATAAGTAAATATTTTAAATGATACTAAGTAATTTCAAAGACATAAATTAATTACATATTATATTAAAAGAACAGACCTATATAAGATGTAACAGTATACACTTGATTATATTAGTATAATAAAATATGACTGTTAATTTTTTTTTTAAAAAAATAGTATACTCTGATCTGACATTATTTAACATATCATATTGAAATTTAACCAGAACTAGTATCCAAGATACAGTGATACATGAAATTTTTGAAATTTTTTAAATGGTTGAGTTTCATAAAAAATAATCAAATTACAAAACTTTTTTTTTTATTTATTATTATAAAATATGCGTTTTAAAAATAATTTATTTTTTCACCTTTTAATCTAATAACCTCCCTACATCACTTTGGCATCAAGATTATTAAATTTTTTACAAATTTGTGAGGAATTTTTTTTCCACTCTTGAACCATATATTCTTCCAAATCCTTTAGATCTTGTGATTTTCTTTTCTCTACATGTCTTTTAATAATTGTCCACATATTCTCAATAGGATTAAGATCAGAGAGTATGACAACCAATCTATTTTATCAGGAATATTATTATTGATGAATTTTTAGCTAGTTTACTTCAATACTTTAGATCATTATCGTGAAATGACCTCCAACGGCTTCCTAACAATCATTTGACTTTGGGGATATGTTTTTTAATATATTAATATAGGTTTCGGCATTCATAATTTCTTTAAAACAATGAAAAGAAGTTTTTTCATGAATAGAAATTTAACCCCACGCATGAATTTTTGTTTGATCCTTGGGAACACATCATACAGGCGAGAATTGTGATACCATTGAGTGATTGTATTTCTAAATAACTGGAATGAAGTTTCATTCGTAAATAAAGTTTGGGACCAATAATCATGGCTATTTTTTAGCCTATTGTATGCGAATATATTTAATTTCTTTCTTTAACATGGGAGTTGTAAGAGGGAGAGTATTTTTATACTTAAGATATGGAGATGTTTTCAAACTTCCTCTCTTGAGACCTCTATATTATGATCTTTTAACCTTTCAATTATTTTCTTTATTGATATTGCAGGAGATCGTTGATTAATTGTCTTACAAATTTTGCAATTTTTTCCAATGATTTTTTTTTGGTCGGCCAGCCTCCTTTTGATTGATGTTGCCAGTTTTCTTCAACTTTCTTAGGTTATAATAAATGATTGAAAGGTTTTTTTTTGTTTGCTTATAAATTTCCTTTTCTGTTCTAATACCGTTAGTCTACAAATGTAAAATTACTTGACGACACTGTTTTTTGGAGGGGGTTTCTTCATTTTAATTAACATGCAGCATGAAATGTCTAGAACAAAAGTGATTAAGATTGTCGTAAAGTAACTTTTTTTACTGCGGTTGTACCTTCACATGTGATAAAATCACGGGAGATTTCCAAAAAATTTCGTGTACTACTGTTACTAACAGTTGACCAAAGAGATATTACTAGAAGTAATAATAAATAGTTTTAGAAATAATAGCAAAAAATACTAATACCGAAGTGAAGGTATGGCTGGATTAGTTTTACCAATGACTAATTTATAATACAAAGTGTAGTGCCATTTGTTACTACTAAAGATTGGAATGATAAAGATAATGTTAATAAGAAAATAATTTCATTTTTTTTTTGTTTTTATAAAGTAAAAAATTGTTTGCTTAGTGAACTTAATTTTAATGTGAAATTTTATTTTTCGATGACCTATTTAACTAGAAAAATTACTAAATTTCATATAAATAGCAACTTCAATTGCTAAATATAATCAAGGAATATCATATATAAATATTATATTTATTTTCTCGAGATAATGATAATTATGATGGTGACAATATTAATTCACGAAACCTTCTTTTAAAGACACGTTGTACAAAACAGTCTCTCGATTTCATCTTCGGTTATAAAAATATATTGTATCTCTTATATGATATAGATCTATCCACAAATCTATTAAAATAAATTAAATAATTAATTGGTATAAATAATCAAGCATATAGTAAAATAAATAATATATATATTTATCTATCAATCTATTTAAATTGAAATTTAAACATGCCTTCTGAATTTGACAGTCTTGTTCATAAAGCCATTCTAGATTACTTTTACATTGGAAGTTTGTATTAGTATCCTTGCATCTGTTTTTTGATTATGATGCAAGTTTGGTAAAAGGCCAAGGAGGGAATCATTGTTGACAGAAGGCTATATCATATAAAGAAAGAACGAGATTAAGAGAAAAGAATATAAGAGAAAGATATATAAACGTGTAAATATATGAAAAAAAGGTTTAATTAAAAAAGGATTTGAGTTAATTTATAAAATTTATATATACTCTTTGTAGACTTGGAGAGTCTTTTTCAAGCTCCCTATTTCGTGTGTCCAGTTTATATTTAACATTTACTGTCTCTTCATTCAACTCATGGAGGCAATCGGCATTCTATTAATAAATAAATAAACATATATTTGAAAAAGGCAAGTAAATTCACAACACCATCCTCTGGCCGAGACCTGAAAATATCAAAATAAAAAAAAAGGTGAGTGTTTTTATGTCATTATTATCAAGAACAAAGAACATTTACAGCTGTGTGTAACTGCGGCCACATGCTTTCAATTCAATGTTCATGTATCCTATTCACCACAAACCCAAGGCTCACAGCAGGCCGTCCACCGTACGTCAAGTCTGAATACCTGACTGGTAACTTTCACAAGCTGTGGCCATGAAGAGCTTTCGATTCTGCAACTTACACCTAGTGGCAGCATAACTTCAGATACATAACAACTCAACAAATACTCAGTATGAAAGTTTAAGAAAGTATTTGTTTATTTGTAAAATTCGAAATTGAAACCGTTATTATTATTAGATATTGCCTAATATTTTTGGGGGGTGAGACACATATATACAATTAATGAGATAGTATCGGCTATGCAATACATCTCTTTTTAACTCTTATTAAATTTATTTATTCACCATCCGAATTATAATCCCTTGGCTCAAATTCCATTTCATCATATGACCTCTTTTGTTGAGTTGGAAGAAGAGAAAAATCATCAAAAGAGAAGTTTTGTTGTTTCTTAGGCTGTCCTCGTGTAATAGGGTGCATTAATCACTTATGATTTGTTAAGAATGTGAGTGTGTGAAAGTACTTTTGACAAATAGGGCAACAAAATATTTATTTTTTTTCAATAGACGTACAATGGGCATCATAACTCGGTACTTTCAGGAGATCTTCGTACTGGAGAAGATGAATCGGGCTTGTGAATCTGTTATCTTTGGCTTTGGTAATCAGTGGTAAGAAACCATTATACAAATGAAGAAATTCCATGGGAAAAGCTGACAATAAGTTTTTATATTTTTAAATGTCTGGAATTTTCATCTGGCCCTCCATCTACTAATAAAATCCATATTGGTCGAATTGTTCTGTTTACTTTTAGAATATCATCATATTGAGAATTCGAAGCAAGGCTTTCCAGATCTTGCATATGTGTAAGAGAAGATGTGCCAAGAGACCATTGGGGACGTATAAAAATTGTCAACTTTCTTGTTCGCAATTCATCATTAGATTCATTTGAATTTATTATCAAATATACTGATGGTAATAATTTTTGTCCAGATCCTATAGGAAAATCATGGTCTTCTATGGTCGTGAGTACCTGCAGTAGGTCGTACATTCCATACATTACAATCAGTTAATGTACTACAAGTACGATCTTCACCTTGTCATATTGGGATATAACAACTGATATATCAGCAAAAGTACTAGCGAATTGCTTTGCACATTTTACTGATGCGAGGCAATAATGACTATCAGGATGTTTCACATGTTTCAGTGCACGAAACTCCAGCTACTGCAACCAATGCTGGATGATGATATGCTTTTGCAGCAGTTGAATTTTATTGACGGGTTAAAAGGTAACTTTTCAATGTAGTTCTTGCCATATAGATTATAAGATTTTTACGTAGATGCACAATTGTCCGAACTTTAATAGTCTCTTTTCGTCGGTTTGCATCAGCTGATCTAAATTCCACACAATCATGTATTTGTTCATGTATTTGTTCATGTAAAACTGGATATTGAAAGAAATGGTGGCCTTCCAGGTTTACCATAGCAAACAACCTCATTATTTTCGATATATTTAATTTTTTTTCTTTGCAATTTTGGATTTATTTGGCATTTCTTTTTAATTGGTGATTATATTTTTTTGTTAGATTCAATTTCATTTCGCAAGTTTTTTATTTTTGAGACATATCTTTACGTATTTGAGCATCACTGGTAACATTGTAAATCTATTCAAATTTATAAATTTTTTGTTCGACTGTTTTGATTGCCTCTGCTGCTCTTCTTTGAGCCGAAGCATTAGCAGAAATTTTTGATGTAGGTTCTATTGAGTGATTGATGGAATGGGAGGTAGAATTTGATTCTTCCGTTGGTACAGAACGTTTAAATCTCATTGTTTGTATGTCATATAAATTAAGTAGTGTTTCCATATAGTTCTTAATTATATCATCAACACACTTTTTTAATTTTGTTCTACTCATTTATGGATTCTTTACAAACAACATCATGGTTGGAAGTATTATTAGTTGTTTTTACCATAATACTATACACATAGGCATTCTTGGTGAATCATATATTGGCTTTTTATTAAACTTAGGGTTTAGAAAAAAATGTTTGGCGACTCATTTTTAATATTTGGAATAAAATTCAATATGTTTAGGAAAGGAATTTTGCAAGTGTAAAATGTTAAACGTGAAAGAAATAAACAAGCGCGTCAAAAGAATCAAATGTTATAACTTTTAGATTTGGAATATAAATTATGTAATCTTTTTTTATTTATCACTATTATCACTATACAATATATTATGTAATTATTATAAATATACAATTTTTTTAATATTCTTTTACTCTTTAATATGTATACTTCATGTTGTAACGTAGCAGATTTAATTATATAGTATATTTTATAATATATGTATGTACAATGTAGTATTATTTATATGTAACTACAAGTATAATTTATCCGAAAGGTGCTCAAACTTTGGGACACGTCGGGTACCCGAAATATGGTTTTTTGACCTGTGCATAGATATTTTATTGTGTTATTATTAACTAAGTTTTTATAATAATATATGACCTGTGACTAGATCCAGTGTTTGGCACGTGAATTTTTGTAAGTGAATAGATTGATCAAAGAAAAAGAACTTATAATAGCACATGATATTTTAAATTATTGATTTTTGTTCTTTATGATATTAATCAATCTAATCATTAAAAATAAATTATTCGTGTATTGCATAATTCACTTATTCTCTTGCAATAATAATAATTTTAATAAAGTATAGTTTACTATCAGCTGTATAGTAATTATTTCGAAGTCAGATGAGTAAACAAAAAATTTTTTTATCGGTCACTGATAAACCTTAACATTTCTAATTAAAGTAAAGTATAAAATATATATATTATATATGAAATATAAAACATTAATCTTAATTATGCGATCAGTAGATCAGTTCTCAGTTCCCACATTTGCATACTAACGGGATTTACATGGGTACGGATATTTTTTCATGTAGAAAAAAGACCCTTGAATTTTTTAATGCATATAATGTTTACTGTTTTTCAATAATCGCGTTAATTATCACTTAGATTTATTGTTATTGTTGTTATTTCATTTGGATGTTATTATCTTATTTTTTTTTTTAACCAATCAAGTGATTGTTTTCTATAATGTTTTCATTAATAAACTGTATTTTTAAACTTTATCCCATATATTATAAATAGTTTACTAAAAAGTATTTAAGATACAATTTTTTGCGGTGGAAATTTTTTTCTAAAAAAATATTTGACATCTCCCTTAAAGAAAAAAAAATCAAATATCAAATATCTTTTTTTAAAAAATAAAATGCCCACTAATAGAAATAGACCATCAACAACTGAACGAACTCATGGTTATAACCTGAGATCTAGTGTTAGATCTAACACTAGATCTCATGGCTATAACCTGAGGTCTACGAATACTATCCCCACCACCAATACCAACAACAACAACAACAATAATAATCGAAATAGGCGTAATAATAATAATAATAATCGAATTAGACGTAATAATAATAATAGAAGAAATACAACCACCAACACCACAATTTCCGCCATCAATAATAATAATAATCGTCGAATCACCAACGTCAACAGCAACAACAATAATCCTCAAATCGCCACCATCAATAATAATACCATTACAAATACTGCTCCTACCACCACTTCTATCACTACCACCACTTCTATTGTTACCACCATTACTACCACTACTTCTACCACCACTTCTACCACTACCATCATCCCTACCACCACTTCTACCACTACTCCCATTTCCACCACTACTACCGCCACTATAATCACTTCTATCAATAATAATAATCATCATCCTCGTCGAACTACGGATAATCGACAAATTCGAGTTCAAACAAGAGCAAGAGCGCCGATTTCTTCTCCCCGCTTCTACCGTCCAGCAGTTGTTCCTCGACACACATTGACAGAGGTGGATGAAATGGAATGTTCCATTTGCATAAGAAGCCCTCCAGACGTCTCAGTAACTACCTCCTGCGGGCACATCTTTTGCCACGACTGTATTAGACGTTGGGTCAGCACTTCCCAAACATGTCCAAATTGTAGGGCAGTGATCCAGGCGGACCAAATTTCAAGATTTAGATTTCATATAGTGGCCCAAAGGAGGTAGTTATATAATTATAAGAAATTTTTTAATTTCTTTTATCGTACAAAAAAAAATAAAAAAAAATTGCATTTAATAATTATGGAATGATGATGAAATCGGAGAAATACTAAAGGCGAATTAGTGGCGATTAAAAATGGGAATTATGGGGATTATGAATAAATAATAATTTTATATTAGAAATTTAATAGTAGCAATAATAATAATTTAATAATAAAAAACGATGAAAAAAAGAGAAAAGGAAAATCATTAGATTGTACAAATTATACAAAAATCTGTGGCTTATTTTTTAGTTAAATAATTAAAAATTTTTTTCCCAAAGATGATATATTAAAAATTTAAATCAAAAATATTCAAAATAAAGTATTTAGCTTACGAATTATATTTGAGAAAACTAAAATTTACAACTTTCAATATTTACCATAACTCTTTGGTACAGAATCATTAAAGATATGATCGTGAAATAATTATTCCCAAGTTTCAGAACTGATATCTCGTTTCATTATTAGATATTTAAAGAGTAGATGGATTTATAAAATTTGTTGTTAAAGTGTATTTATACTAATTGATTCATTTAATTCAATTAAATCTATTTAAATCTATAGATTAATCGAAATGGATCAAAAAGATTATGTCAAGTTAAGTAGATGTTATTGTTTCATGGTAAATAATGTATTTATATATATACGTATAATTTATTAATTCAGAATTTACAAAGAAAATTAAAAACTTATGATCTTAATGACATTATAACTATTAATATTTTAAGGGATTTAGAAATCTTAGATAGATTAAAGAGTGAAGAGAGAAAGAATATTAAGGTAAAAGGAAATTTTAATGTTATTGATATTGATGAGATTTAGATTGCTAATTATATTGTTAAATTTGAATTATTAGAAGCTCGATTTATTCTATTAGGGATAAATTATAACAATATTTTTATGATATGGCTCGGCATGCTTGGAGTGATATTATTATTTATTTGAGGTATGCAACAGATTTTAATATTAATTTTATTCTAAAATAAAACATTTCTTCACTTTCCTTCTTCTTTTTACTTCCTTGGAGCTATGATTGTGGGTATATAGGTTCTTCTTTCACAAAATCGGCGAAATTGGCGAAATGGACGTAAGGACATAAGTATTTATTATTATTACTTTTTTATTAAAAAAAAATCTTAAAAACGAATTTACTCACCCTTTTTCTTAACTTTCCCCCTTCCTTTAATTCGTGTAGCTGAAATTGTGGATATATAGGTTCTTCTTTTTACGAAATTGATGAAACTGACATAAGGGTGTAAGTATACAGGTTGGTGAGGAGGGGATTATGGACAGCTTTATGGATAAAATAAATGAAATCAAGAAAGTAAAATTTAGTAAATAATATTATCGAGTGTTAACTTGACAATTTGAATAGAAAAATTGTAACTATAGTTTTAACAGGACATAAGAAATATGAAGTTATCCCTAATTAATATCATTTGGTCTCGTTCGTCTCCAATGAGTAATATTTTAGTGACTACCGTAATTTGCTGACCAAAAGCCCCGGGTCCTTTTCACCCACCTCCCAAAAACTTTAATTGTACCCAGGGGGATATTTTGTACGGGGAAGGGTACTTTGTTTAGCATGGGTTTTAATGATTATAATAATATAATACCTATATATTGTACCCGGGTACATTTCATATGGGATATTTTGCCCTAGGGGTACTTTGGTCAGCAAATTACGGTAGTTTTCAGACATTAAAATTTGGTAATAACATTTATTAATTAATTGTTAATTAAATTTAACTAGGAATGAATATAATCAAACTTTAAGTAGACATAAATTGGTAATTTTTTTGGTAGATATTGAGAATAGTGTGTGAAGTGAGATAATTTTTAAATAAAATTATTAAAAGAACCTTTATTTACATCTTTGATAATTTAATTAAGAATTTTATTTCAGATTAATATTCAAATTTGATAATAATAATTCTTATAATATCAATATTAATAATATTTATATATTCAATTAATTAACTAAATCTTAATATTAGTAGTTGAAATAATCGGCATGCAAAAGATTCATGAATCATATAGATAAATTTATAAGACATGATGGATATGTTTGTTATAGAATGCGCATGTTGTTGTGAGTAAACACAATTAAAATGTATCTAGTGAAGAGAGAGAGAAATATATTGTTTAAATTTATTAATAAATATTAATTATTAATAATTATAAAATGTTGATAAACTTATTTTTATTAAATAATATCAATATGATAAATTTAAATAATATCAATATTGTACATAGATAGATATCTCTTGAAAATAAAGAATAAATAAGAATAGTTTCTCATATTAAACAATAATTATTTCTAGTTAAATGAGTAAATTGTATCCTACAAATTATCCCTCGCAATTACCCCTGGCAATTATACAACAATAGTGGTTTTTCTGTTCTGTAAAAATTTTTTAATGCTGTATTAAATATAATTTATATATGTATTATCAATACGCAATAATGTAATTTTGAAATCGTTATTTATTTAAAACTTGTTTTCTTTTTACTGATCATTTAAAAAACTACAAAAAATTCATCAAATATTTTATAATCAAAACGAAATAATGTGAAATACAAAGCATCAGACGTGACTAATTTTATAATATTAAAGTAATATATTCTATATAAAAGTATAATATAAATCATGCTTACTAAATTTGGCATTGACATAGGTGATAAAATCTGTTGTGACGATATTGTATCTAAATATGAATTTGAGAAATGTGTTTCATGGAAAAAAATAATTAGTCTTGTGTAAAGATCGGCTGATAAACTTTTTTTCCAACAGAAGCATATAAAAATGTAGTATAGTTATAATATTAAAGTAAAAATATTTAATTGACGAGAAACAAATACAAAATATATTCTATATAAAAAAAAGTTTAATATACTGTAAGTCATGATTATCAAATTTGGGTAGGACAAAGCGGATTAGAATCATGTGAGGTTAAAATGTAAGTGTCCTTAAATAGACCCGATCTAGACATAAATAAATTTTTTAAGTAGATAATATAATGTAGACCCAGGTCTAGGATAAATTTTAAACGTGATCAGATCACATGTGATGCCAATCTTTTAAAGATCATTAAGATCTCAACTAGCAAATGTTTAATTCGATCTATTATATTTCTAATAACACAAGGTCTTTCATTAGAATCTTAACAATATAATCAATTAATTAAAATTTTTTGTTATTAAATCAGAAAAGTTTATTTGATATAATTAATTGAAGTTTTGATCTAAATATTATTTGTTTATTCAAAAATTTAATATTAGTTTTTTCAATACATTTAAAATCTACACATACTTTTTGTTATTTATCTATTCTAACTTTATATTATGATAATTTTCAGGAGCTTAACGAAGGACACTTAATGGATGAGTTAAAGTAATACCAAAAATATGTTTTTGATGCAACAATAAGAAAATATCAAGAACGTAACTTGGAATAGGTGTATGTTCGATTTTTAGATAACAATTGTTGTAGATAAAGAACACATGATAATAATTGCACAATTATTGCCAACAGTTCTGTTTTCCTAGTAACAAAAATAGTCCTAATAATAGTAATGAAGAGCGTGAAGAAGGAGATAATGATGAGAAGGAAGATGAAAATAATAATTATGACAATAATAATATAAATATAAATCTAAGAATATTTTAATAATATAGAATAATAGTGAAAGCGAGTTGACAATGAAATGGTTCGTCTGACTTTATAATAATGATTCATTGGTCATGTTATCCAATATTTCAAATTTAGTTTGAAAAATATTTTTAAATATTTTTTTAATTAATTCTAAAAGGTTTTTTTCTTATTCACATTCCCAATATTATACTTAATTAATATTTTGGTCAATATCTATTCTTAAAAAAAAAATAAAGATACGAAATTTCTTGATGTTAATTATTTAAATCTATATATATTCAATCCAAATAGAAATAATGTTTCTCAGTGATGGACATCTCAGGTTATATCAATTGTCTTTAGGTCATAAATATTCATTATTACTATAGGTCATAATGGGTCATATGGTCATAATTATAATTGATAAGTAGGTCATAATTAGGTCATGGCCAATACTGATGTTTCTAGATTAAGAATGATGGTTGAAAGAAATTTCGTAACTATTTTAAATTTATTTTCAGGTTAGATGACAAAAATTAAAAAATAAAATTTAATTTATTTATAATTTTTTTTATATGTCGAAATATTGGAACCTTCTGAATTAATTTTAGATAAAATTATTTATTCTTATACTTTGATTTTTTTTTTCTCAAATAATAATAAAATATTTTTAATAAAATACAAGGTAAATCAAAAATTTTATTTATTTTAATCTCAATATTTATTTAATGGCAACTTTATATCACACCTGTGGTGTTGTACAGTAAGTGGTCAAAAGTTACCGGACAGTTGAACATTTTTAAAAAATTACTAAATTTAAAATGCTAATTGTGCCATAACGAGTGATCTAAATTATACAAACTTTTTTTTATTAAATTTCCCTAAAGCAGGGCTATCATATAATATATTTTTTGTTAAAATTAAATGTCTACACGTAGAGGAATTACACTTCAAATAAAATTGACAAAAAATGATAAATTTAATATTTAATCATTGTCCATACTGGAATTGATAGATTTTAAAGATAGATGTCAACTATCTTATATTAAATTGTAGTCAGAAACAATATCTATAATTTTAATTAGTAACGTTTTTTATAGTATTTATTGAAAATTTAGGCTTTACTTAGACGTTATCAAAAATGACCAAAATTTATTAAAAAAATAAAAAAATACGAAAATAATTGTCAATTATTTTTATATATAAAAGTTTTTTATTTACTAAATAGTAATAAAATAAATACTAAGTAACATTATAGCTAAGAATATATAGCATTTTTTCTGAAGTATTTAGAAATATTTAACTAAAATTAAGTGAATAATGAACAATTAAATTCCAGAGAATAATTTTTAAATATCCAATGTTCAACCATTGATATTAAATTTAATTTGCAAGAATAAATTCTAAAAACTTCAAAAAAGATGCTCCATGTTCTTGGCTATAAGAATTATTAGTAGCATATTTGATAGTTTATTAATAAATTACGAACTATTATATGTAGCAACCTTTTGATAAATTATTTTCAGATTTTTTAAAAAATATCAATGATAAAATGATCAACAATGATATTAATTAAAAAATCTGAAATAACTATCAATAGTTACTACATATAAAAGATAATAATATATTAATAAAACAGCAAATGTGTTATTAATTAATCTTATAGCTAAGAATTTGAAGCATTTTTAATAAAGTTTTTAGAATTTATTCTTGTGAATTGAATTTAATATCAACAACTAAATATCCGACATTTAAAAATTATTCTTTGGAATTTAATCACTCATTATTTACTTACTTTTTATTAAAAAAAATCTGAATTTTTTACACGAGATGCAAAATATTCTTAGCTTTAATATTACTTAATATTATATTTGTCAACATTTTAGTAAATAAAAAACTTTTATTGTTTAGACTTTTTTGTTCTAACCAATTACAATAAAATATGCAGTTAACATGTCACTGCATGGCTTTAAATAAAAATATACAGTTAACATTTTATTATATAGCTTTAAATGAAAATAAAAAATATGCAGTTAAAATGAAATTGTAACATTATACAGAATATTATAATACATTGTAAAAAATTATATTCTACAATAATAAAATCATATTATTACTTACAAATAATATAACTTAGGATTATTTAACTTTTAATAATTTATTAATTTTTAATTTAAATTTACTAGTCAAATTATATTTCATTTTATTTTTTAAAAAATAATTTATAAAAATGACTACTCAATGCAAAGAACTTTCTGAATTTCAACATAGTGAAATAATAGGTACATCAAAATTTAATTTTTCTGTAAGAGAAATAAGTGAGGTATTGAATTATTCAAAAAGTACAGTACAGAATATTATCAAAGTTTACAAAAATAATGGATTAGAGAAAATACCTTCTCGAAGTGGTCGATCACCTATTAAACTAAAAGAGATAATATACAATTAATTTGAGTTTTAAATAGAAATCATAGGACTACTATTAAAGAACTATATAAAAATTTTATTTAATCTACCTCAACAAATGTAAGTTCAGTTACTCTTAGAAAACATCTTAATAAAAATAACATTTATGAAGGAATTGAAGCTAAAAAATCTTTTATTAATGTTGCAAATAAAATAAAAAGGTTAAATTGAACCAAAATAAGAAAAAATTGAATGAATAAATGAAATAATATTATTTGAAGTGATGAATCAAGATTTGAGATATTTAGAAGAGATAGAAGAAAACATGTTTGAAGAAATTCTCAAAAAAAATATAATTCAAAATATCTTGTTCCAACTTTTAAATCAGAACAAGAAAGTGTAATTGTTTGGAATTGTTTTACAAAAAATAAGCTTGGACCATTAGTTAGATTAGAAGGTAGAATAATAGCAAAAATTTATATAGAAATATTAGAAAAAAATTTAATTCCATTTATAAATAGTTTAGAAAATAGTGATAATTATATTTTCAAGAAGATAATACTTCAATTTATATTGTAAAAATAGCAAAAAAATAGAAGGAAAATAATAATATTACAAGTCTTTCATGGCCTACACAAAGTTCAAATTTAAATTCTATAGAAAATTTATGAAATGAATTAGATAGAAAAGTCAGGTCACATAAACCATTATCTAAAAATAAAGATGATTTATGGTAAATTTTACAAGAAGAATGGATTAAACTTGAAAAAGATAAATATAATAATCTTATTAATAGTATATCAAATTGTATTGCTGCTATTATTGAAAATAAAAGTTATCCCATAAAATATTAATAAATAAATTAATCTATCAAATTGAATTAAAAAGTTTAAAATAATTATTAAAGGTTGTTACATATAAAAGTTTTTTATTTACTAAAATATTGATGAATATAATACTAAGTAATATTAAAGTTAAGAATATTTTGCATCTCGTGTAAAGAATTTAAATTTTTTTAATAAAAAGTGAGTGAATAATGAGTGATTAAATTCCAAAGAATAATTTTTAAATATTTGATATTTAGTTATTAATATTAAATTCAATTCACAAGAATAAATTTTAAAAACTTCATTAAAGATGCTTCAAATTCTTAGCTATAAGATTAATTAGTAATACATTTGCTATTTTATTAATATATTATTAACTTTTATATGTAGTAACTATTGATAGTTATTTTAGATTTTTTAATTAATATTACTGTCAATTATTTTATCATTGATATTTTTTAAAAAATCTGAAAATAATGTATCAAAAGATTGTTAAATATAAAAGTTTGTAATTTATTAATAAAATATTAAATATAGTATTAATAATTCTTATAGCCAAGAACATGGAGCATCTTTTTTGAAGTTTTTAGAATTTATTATTACAAATTAAATTTAATATCAGTGGTTTAATACTAGACGTTTAAAAATTATTCTCTGAATTTTAATCGTTTATTATTTAATTAATTTTAATTAAATATTTCTAAATACTTCAGAAATAATGCTATATATTCATAGCTATAATATTACTTAGTATTAATTTTATTACTACTTTAGTAAATAAAAAACTTTTATATGTAAAAATGATTGATAATTATTTTTGTATTTTTTTTATTTTTTTAAAATTTTTAATAAATTTCAATTATTTTTATTCACGTTTAAGTAAAGCCTAAATTTTTAATAAATACTATAAAAAATGCTACAATTAAAATTATAGATATTGTTTCTGACTACAATTCAATATAAGATAGTTAGATCTATATTTAAAATCTATTAATTCCAGTATAGACAACAATTAAAGATTAAATTTATTATTTTTTGTTAATATTATTTGAAGTGTAATTTCTCTAAGTGTAGATATTTAATTTTAATAAAAAATATATAATATGATAGCTCTGATTTAGGGAAATCTAATAAAAAAAAGTTTGTACAATTTAGATCACTCGTTGTGGCGCAATTTACATTTTAAATTTAGCAATTTTTTTAAAACTTTTCAATTATCTGGTGACTTTTGACCACCTACTGTACATTTTCTTTCACCTTTACATCATTTATTTTTAATATATCACTAATAATTATAATTTTTTATTTATTATAAATTTTTCTTTACCCTTACATTATTTAAAATAGATTCTAAACAAAATTTTAATTCTTCAAGAAGTGCACCTGTTTATTTTTCATTACCTTTCTCTTCAACCCTTCAATATATGTTACATGTTTTTTTATAAATTCATTTATAGCTAACCTTTGATTTTTGATTACTCTCTCAGCTTTAATTTTCTCTGATATATTCACTTCAATTGATTCATGATATATATATACTTAGTAAGATATTTGAAGTCTATATAGACTCCAAGTATCTTACTTAGTGTGGATTATAACTATCCTGAAGATAATATGCATTTTGTTTTTTAGGCCTTATACTTTGGGATAGTTATAGTCTGCTCATCAGGTAACGTGCGTTTTGCATTTGCTTCGTCATTCGAGTAGTGAGTCGATCACAGAATATATGTCTCGTATTTGATTACTAAATTGATTTCTGTTACAGAGGAGCATAGTGATTCCAGTTACGAAGTGTAGCGGAACATAGTTATCATATTTGATTGCTAAATTGCTTTCTGTCATAGAGGAGCATAATAACTCCAGATGCGAAGCGTAGTGGAGTATAGTATTTATGATCTTTTACATGATACACTTGAATACTGCATTAGAAAATTTTTAAAGGCGAAATATTTTGAAAATTTTTGTCTCGTTAAATTTTCGGAGCTATACGACACCTTCGTAAGTTTTCAAAAAAATTTTCAAAAATTTTCGAACCGTAAATCTTCGGAATTTTTTGTTTTATTTATTTTCAAAAATTTTTGCATATATTTTTGTAAATCTCCATTTATTTTTGAAAATTTTTGTATATATTTTTGTAAATCTCTATTTATTTTCGTAGATATTTGCGAAATTATTATAATAGTATATTCGAGATTTACATATGAAACATTTTGATATTTTACAGATTTTTTTCAAACTAAATAGTTAATTGCGAAAATAAAATGTATATTGTAATGATATTATTATTGAACGTTAATTGTTTATTAATTTTATTGATTTTAATAAATTTTCAGAATATTCTATTACATAAATGTTCAGAATATTCTATATAATTAATAAATTTTTGGAATATTCTATTATATAAATTTTCAGAATATTCTATATATTTGTATACATTATTATATATATATTGTTTTTATTATTCTTCATCATCATCATCTTCATCTTTGTCATCATCGTCGTCGTCGTCATCGTCGTCATCGTTGTTATCATCGTCATCGTTATCATCATCATCGTCACCTTCATTATCTTTATTATCTTTATTTGTTTTTCTTTTTTTATTAATAGTTTCGTGTGCTTTCTTTAATGCATTTTTTTGAATTTCTGCAAGTGAAGGTATCACATCATCAATATCCTTGAGTTTATTTTTTCATTTTTTTCTAGCTTTTTTCAAAAGTGGAGAGACTGAAGGTGAAAAAAATAATTCTTTATATCCTCTTCTGCTTTAATTTCAATTTTTTTATTTGCTATTTTAGTCTATGTTTTATTTAATTAGTATTTTTCGGAATTATTCAAAATGAAAATAGTACTGTGAAAAATTTACAATATTTTTTTTAAGAAGAAAATCAATTATTTCTTCTGACACACTGATTTCTCTATTATCGGGATTCAATAATACTTCAACGATTGATATTGCCCAAGTGGTATACAAGTCGGATGCTTCCGTTTTCAGTTAAACTTTTTCTATTACTTGCGTCATATAGGTCGAGAAGTTTTTATCATTATTAATATTTTTAAAAAAACCATTGTAAGCTTTAGAAACAGTTGGGTGACTTTTCCACAAAGAGATTTCATTTGCTTTCACTTTGTTTTTTATTTCAGGTAAACAAAAAACATAAAAAATTACTTTTTTTATACAAGTTGATAGTATTCTACGTTTACTTCGTAATTTTATGGTTAACTATAACATTATATATTGAGATTAATAGATTTTCATATTATAAAACTTCACTTTTGCACTTACCTTTTTTTTTTAATTTTCGTTCATAATATAAATTCTATCAACGGGAACCAAATGTATTATAAAATTTCCTATCATTCCATTGTACGTATGCTGAGGTTACTTCTTTATAATCCTTGAACGTCAGATAATTTTTTTGGTTAATAGCTCCTTTGCAATGTTAATAATCATTACACATTGGAAATTGGGGGGTTTTGGGACAAAACTGTCAATATTGACAATAGTGTGTCGGCCTTGTTAGAAGCTCAAATCCGTTATCATTTTCTAACCATATCTTTTTCTAACCGATTAAATCTAACTATGACGTGGAATTTTTGTTTTAGACCACACTCGAATGACGTGCATTTTTTGTTTTAGGTCACATTTTCGATATATTTTTGTTAGATTTATTTTATGCTACTCCGCTTGCTATAAAAAGGGAACGCGAAGCTGAAGGACGAATGTCCTGAAACTGAGCGTGACCTGCTCTGGCAAGCTTAAATTTAATATTATTTCACTAAATCTAACCAAAGTCTAACCGAAAATTTAATATATTGATGGGGAAATTAGAACAGAAAAATTATAGTGCTAGATACATATTAAATCTTTATAAAATGTATTTTTCATATACAAGTTAAATCTAACGAAAAAATTTTATATATTACAAAAGTATAACTGAAATTGTATAGCAAAATAAAGCTTTAGAGCATTTTCCCAAAAAAATTGTCCTTGGTATTTAGCACTCTGATCAAGTTCCTGATATACAAAATAAATCTAATAAAAATCTAACCTCTTGATAACGAAAATTGTCCTTGGTATTTAGCGCTTTAGAGCAAGTTCCTGATATATAAAATATTTATTCAGGCTGACAACTATTACAATATTCTCCCTCTTCTATTTTTATCGGAAGTAAGCATTCTTTACAAAGAGTAATATTAAGATTTGTAAGTGTAGCTCCATGAGTATCCATTATTTCCTCATAAGTTTTTTCTCGAATATTTGCAAGCATATTTTTAATGGTATTAATTATTTTCTCATAAGATCTTTCTCGTGAATTTGATCGAATTCTATTATAGTATTGGGCAACGTAAAATCCTCTAGTATGTAAAGGACAACGACCAGAAATTGACCCAGTAGGTTTACCACAGTCAGAGTATGGTACTCATTTTTTAGCCTTCCAATGAAACCAGCACCCCTCCGGTCGAATGCAAGCTTTACCACAAGTCTTTCCAGAATTATGAATATATGGGCACGAATACTTACCAATCATTTTTGAATATATGATATGAATTAATTATTTAAAGAAAAGATTTTGTATAAGTAAAATATAACGCGAAAGTTAGACTTAGCATACTATATAAAATGTCAGACGCTTATCCAGAGCTTATCGAAGAATTTAGTATTGAGATAGTCGATTATAATCCAATTGGACCTGCCTGCCACATACCATTACCAGAAACAATGCCAAAACGAAATAATGGTGTTATCAATATGCAAAATAATAATGACTGGTGTTTTGGATGGTGCGTCTTAGGAGCATTGCACTCTGTTAAAGTACATCCAGAAAGAAATCCTCATCGAATAAATGCTAAATATGTAGAGGAGCTTAATATGGAAGACATTCTGATTCCAGTGCCAGTCTCTACACCAATTTACCAAAAATTTGAAGAAAATAACCCCGAGATCAGTCTTTGTGTATATGAATAGTCTAATCAAAATAAGTGTCTCGAATTCTGATATCTTTCAGAAAGAAGAAGCACAGAATTTAAGCAGATAAATCTTTTAGTCATTTCAGAAGCTGATGACTTAGAAAATCCTCGAACGCATTACTGTATTATTAAGGATTTACATAAATTAGTATATAATTATAGTAAACATAAGGAAAGAAAATACCTTTGTCATTTCTGCCTTTGTGTATATTCTGCAGAAAAAGGATTTAATGAATATAGAGCAAATCCAAAAAAATGTTTAGGAGTAAATAATGCTCCTCAAATACCAAAAGTTCCTATAATGGAAAAAAGTATAAAAGAATTTTGCAATCACAAATGTATGCAACCAAACCCTTATCGAATAATTTGAGATTTCAAATGCTTAACTACAAATTTAACTCCAGAAGAAAATGCCAAATTAACTTGAACTGAAAAACTCCAAAGGCATAGACCTTGTGGCTTTTCATATGTAATAGTGCGAATGGATAGTTTTGGTAAGTATGAAATAATGAGCCATTATTTGTATAGAGGTTCAAATGCTTTAGAAAAATTTGTCAACAAGCTTAAAGAAGAGCTTGCAGAAACTCAAGCAGATTTATCATCACCTGTGAAAATAATTATGGAACTAGAAGATCATATAGCATTTAATGAGGTGATAGAATGTTATATTTGTGAGAAGCCTTTTATTAAGCTGGCACTAGAAATTTTGCAACAATTCGAAGAAGCAAAACAACAAATGTTAGAATGTAAAAAATGGGAGGCATATATGAAAAAAGATCATCCCAAAAAGAAAGACGTGCAAAAGAAATATCAACAAACGTTAAATAATCTTAACCGTAAAGTCAGAGATCATTGTTATATTAGTGGAAAGTACAGAGGAGCAGCTCATGATGCTTGTAATAAAAAATTACAAATGGGAGCATTTAAAACAAAAATACTACTCATTTGTCATAATTTTCAAGGATACAATTCGCATCTACTCATAGAAGTCATTGGTAGATTTACAGCAGATAAGTTAAAGTGTATTCAGAAAATATAGGTAAGTATAAGGCTATGGACATAGGGCAATTCTGATTTCTTGATAGCTTCCAACATATGGTAATGAGTCTTGATAAACTTGTTGAGATTTTTGGTGGAAAACTTGAGAAACTTCCTTTATCAGTTAAGCACTTCACTGAAAAGGGATACTTGTTAGATCAAATCAATTTATTAATAAAACAAAAAAGCGTATTTCCTTATAATTGGACAAACTCATGGGACAAATTTGAAAGAACAAGTCTTTCACGTCGAAAAGACTTCTATTCTATACTTAACTAGCAAAATATTAGCAAGACAGATTATAAGCATGCGCAAAAAGTATGGCAAGAATTCGAAATGACAAATTTTGGAGAATACCATAACCTTTATCTCAAAACAGATGTACTTTTACTTGCGGATATTTTTATGAACTATACTATTATGTGTTTACAGGATGATAGATTGGACCCCTCACATTATGTTTCAGCACCGGGTATGTTTAACGATTCACTGTACAAAAGTAGCAAAGTCGAGATTAAATTAATGTCAGATATGGACGATTATTTAACAATTGAAAACAGAATTTGCAGAGGTATGACAATGGTAAGCTATCGATATGCTAAAGCAAATAACGAGAAATGTCCCAACTATGACCCTAATAAACTGAAATCCTGAATCATGTATGAAGATATGAATGTTTTATACTCAGGAGCCATGACGCAATACTTGCCTACGGAAATTTTGGGTAAGGTAACTCCAGAGGAAATATCTGTCATTCAAAGTATTGCTCCAGATACGGAAATAGGATATATATTAGAGGCTGATTTAGATGTTCCAGGATATTTGCACGACTTTTT